CCTCACATGCAAGGAAATTGCTACAAAGAATATTGCACCTGAAAGAACCATTTACCGGATCATCAAGAACTTCAAGGAGAGAAGTTTGACTGTAGTCAAGAAGTCTTCAGGATGTCCAAGTGTGTCCAGCAAATGCCAGGACGTCTCCTCCTGAGGAGTCAGCTATGGAATCGTGTCACCACCAGTGCAGAGCTTGCTCAGGAATGGCAGCAGGTTGGTGTGAGAGCATCTTCACACACAGTGAGGCCAAGACTTGGACAACAGCCTGGTGTAAAGAAGGGCAGCAAAGAAGACATTTCTCTCCAAGAAAAACATCAAGGACAGACTGAAATTCTGCAGGAAGTACAAGGGTTGGACAGCAGAAGACTGGTGCAAAGATATTTTCTCTGATGAAGCTCCCTTCTGACTGTTTGGGACATCTGGAAAATCGATTGTTCAGAGAAGAAAAGAAGAACGCTACAATGAGTCCTGTGTTGTGCCAACAGTGAAGCATCCTGAGACCATCCATGTGTGGGGTTGCTTTTCAACCAAGAGAGTGGGCTCTCTCATAATTCTGCCCAAAAACACTGCCATGAATAAAGAATGGTATCAAACGTCCTGCAAGAGCGACTTCTTCCAACGATCCATGAGCAATTTGGTGATGATCCGTGCATTTTCCAGCATGATGGAGCACCATGTCACAAAGCAAGGGTGATAAAGAAGTGGCTCGAAGATCATTACATTGACATTTTGGATCCATGGCCAGGCAACTCCCTGGATCGCAAACCCATAGAGAACGTCTGGTCATTCCTCAAAAGGCGAGTGGACAAGCAGAAGCCCACAAATTGTAATCAACTCCGAGAACTAATAAGGCAAGAATAGATCGCCATCAGTCAGGATTTGACCCAGAAGCTAATATCCAGCATGCCAAAGCAAATTGCAGAGGTTATGAAGAACAAGGTTCAACACTGTAAATATTGACGCATATTTTTTTGCCAATAAAAGCCTTTAAAACGTATATGCTTATCATTGTTTTTCAGTATACCATAGAAACGTGGAATAATAATCTACAAATTCATGAAGCAGCAAACTTTGCAAAACACAAAATTTATGTTACTGCCAAAACTTTTGTCCTGTATATTTACTGAGAAAAATTGTGACGTGTTCAATACTTATTTTAAAACCTTGCTACATGTTCTGAGTTGGGCTAACCGAGGCTTGTCATAGCACTTGCATATTATTGCTCTGTTGTTGGTTTTGATTTTTTTCTATTGTCCTCTTTTGTAAGTTGCTTTGGATAAAAGTGTCTGCTAAATGACTAAATGTAAATGTATTTTTAGCTAAGCAGAATCTTGAATATTTCTATTCTGGTGTCACCATTACCATGCGCATTGGGTAAAAAGGCCAATTCCTAGTCTATCCAAGTTCACCCCTGACATGTTCTATGACAATTTAATACCAGTCCTAAAAGGTACAAAAGGGATCAAATAAAGTGATATAAATGATCTGAATTTCCATTAGGATCCAAGTGACTACAGATGTTTAAGTTCAGTTTCTTCAACATTTTTATTGGGATAATATTTGTATGTCCTTTTCAGATGTTCAGTGCTCACTAGATCACAGCAGATGATGCTTCACTCCAACCTCAACACCTCCCTTTCTGAAAACTGCAGTGGTGATGTGTGTATTCTTTCTGCTGTGCAGTGGATCAATGACAATGCACAAGCATATATCACAAAAAGTGTACCTGTCAGCGATCCCAAGAAGGAAGAAGTTTTGATGCAGTCAAAAGAGATTTTCACTAGACTTTGGATCTATAGCCATCACATCTACAATAAGATCAAGAGGAAGAACATTCTGGAATGGGCAAAGGAGCTGAACCTTTCTGGGTTCAGTATGCCAGGAAAGCCTGGTATTGTGTGTGTGGAGGGTCTGCAGTCTGCTTGCAATGAGTTCTGGGCCAGGTATGTAAAAAAAAATTAAACTATATCGTGTCCACACTTATTCTATTGTGAAATGCCTTCAAAAACCTTTCCTCATTAGGTCACAGTGCCACAGTTAAACATATGTATCACTGTGTAAACGCACAGTACCACACCACATCCATTTGGGCACATACCCCTCAAAGTTTTAAGTCAAATGGTTTATGAAAACTTCTAAAAGACAAAAATATTAATGTAACAGATCTAGCATTTAAAGGTGCACTAAGCAGTATCACTGTTGGGGAAAGTTACTTTTTATGGAAAGTAATGTGTTAGGTAACTTTTGAGTTAATTTTGAAAGCTTACTTTAAATTCCTAACTTGTATGTTTTTTATTTTAAAAGTCACAACAAAAGTGAAGTTAATTCGCTTCAGGCTTAAGGAAATGTAAATTCACATCTGTACAGTAGAGGGCGCAGCTCAAACAAATTGCATGAAGAATATGACACAGGAGAAGAAAGTTCAACACTTTTATTTTTTTTTACATATAAGTACAAGACAAAAAGTACAAAGCAGATATAAGGCAATGTTGTACAGTTTAAAGCATGTAAGACAGAATAACAACAACAAAAAATAAAATTAACATAAACAAAAATATGAAAAAAACAATAATAAAACGAAATTATATATATATATACACCAGGACAAAAAGTGTGCACATATATTATTAGGGCAGTTACATAAATTTGAAAAGCTTTAAAATTTTTATTGTTTTTATGTGTTTCTTATTTTGTGATCTCATATAAGAAAGGGTTTCAAAATATATTTTAAAATCAGTGTTACAAAATGATGTTAGATGATGTATGATGTTTTTTTTTACTTATGAATATAAAACTGCTAAGATAATTAACAGATTAATTATGTAATTTTGTTCATCAGAAAAAAGTAAAATATTATGAGGTTCTAAATTAAGGGCTATGTTTTTTTTTTTTTTTTTTTTTTTTTTTTTTATTTCTGTATTGAAAGAGAAGGAATAAATAAAGAGAGAGAGTTTTTTTTTTTTTTTTTTTTTTTTTTTTTTTTTTTTTTTGTTATGTCGATATTAATGTCAACCCAAAATGAAATACACTGTTCAAAAAAATTAAAGGAACACTTTAATCAGAGTATAGCATCAAGTCAATCAAACTCATGGGATATTGATCTGGTCAGTTGAGAAGCAGAGGGGGTTGATAATCCGTTTCAGCTGCTTTGGTGTTAATGAAATTAACCACACGTTCACTAGATGGTCAACAATGAGATGACCCCCAAAACAGGAATGGTTTTACAGGTGGAGGCCACTGACATTTTTTTCCCTACTCATCTTTTCTGACTGTTTTTCACTAGTTTTGCATTTGGCTAGGGTCAGTGTCACTACTGGTAGCATGAGGCGATACCTGGACCCTACAGAGGTTGCACAGGCAGTCCAACTCCTCCAGAATGGCACATCAATGCATGCCATTGCCCGAAGGTTTGCTGTGTCTCCCAGCACAGTCTCAAGAGCATGGAGGAGATTCCAGGAGAAAGGCAGTTACTCTAGGAGAGCTGGACAGGGCCATAGAAGGTCCTTAATCCATCAGCAGGACCGGTATCTGCTCCTTTGTGCAAGGAGGAACAGGATGAGCACCGCCAGAGCCCTACAAAATGACCTCCTGCAGGCAACTGGTGTGAATGTCTCTGACCAAACAATCAGAAACAGTCTTCATGAGGGTCGCCTGAGGGCCCGACGTCCTCTTGTGGACCTTGTGCTCACTTCCCGGCACCATGGAGCTCGATTGACATTTGCATTGAACACCAGAATTGGCAGGTCCACCACTGGCGAACTGTGCTTTTCACAGATGAGAGCAGGTTCACCTTGGGCACATGCGACAGACGTGAAAGGGTCTGGAGAAGCCGTGGGGAACATTATGCTGCCTGTAACATCATTCAGCATGACCGGTTTGGTGGTGGGTCAGTAATGGTCTGGGGAGGCATATCCATGGAGGGACGCACAGAACTCTACAGGCTAAACAAAGGCAGCCTGACTGCCATTAGGTATCAGGATGAAATCCTTGAACCCATTGTCAGACCCTACGCTGGTGCAATGGGTACTGGGTTCTTCCTGGTGCACGAAAATGCCCAGCCTTATGTGGCGAGAGTATGCAGGCAGTTCCTGGTGGATGAAGGAATTGAAACCATTGAATGGCCCCTACGCTCACATGGCCTAAATCCAATAGAACACCTCTGGGACATTATGTTACAGTCCATCCAACGCCACCAGGTTGCACCTCAGACTGTCCAGGAGCTCAGTGATGCCCTGGTCCAGATCTGGGAGGAAAATAGTAGTTATTGCATACAAGCACGTGGGGGCCATACAAACTACTGAGTACCATTTTGAGTTGCTGCAATGAAATTTCAGCAAAATGGACTAGCCTGCTGCATCATTTTTTTCACTTTGATTTCGGGGTGTCTTCGAATTCAGCCCTCTGTAGGTTGATCATTTTCATTTCTTTCAAACCGATGTGGCATCCGTTCATTCCTAACACATTACCCAGTCCATATCAGTAGAGCTGTCCAGCATTATATTTTTCCCCATGGAGATCTGATGTGTTTTCAAAGTGTTCCTTTGATTTTTTTTTTGAGCAGTGTGGAAAAAGGGCAATAGAAAAATAAATGTTCAATATCTTGAACTGATATGTTACAAAATGTACATTTATCACAAGCACTATGAATATATCTGCTAACGGCTGCATTTACAGGATAACATCTTTGAATAATTTTGTAAAGTACTTCTTTTATTTTATTAGAAATAACATCTTTATATGGTAATGTTTAAATGCTATGCCAAGATATACAATGAGATTTAAGCCATTTTGATTTACATGGAGGATTGAAGCCAACATTAAAGGAGTGTCTTATAAAACTATTAAAACGTTTGTCAAAAAAGGAGAGACCATTTACAAAAAGTTGGGGATTTTTTTAGGGTTGAATTATTAATATTTACATCTAAGAATTTGGTTAAAATTATTATGCAACTGGAAATAGTCTTAATTCTTTCTCATTTGCAAAAAAAATAAATAAATACAATAAAATTAGGGTAGGTGTATAATTGCCCATTCTTGTCATTAAGCTGGTTTACAATTATTATGCTATGCCGAACCCAAGTCTCCATGTACAATGAATATTTATTATCAGTGACATTACCATTGTTCCATATAAATCACCTACTTGGAGAAAAATTGTGTTTGTACAAAAGTGACCAGTAAAGTAATGCTTGTTTGTAATAATTGGCAAGGGCTGTTCCGATGCTCGGCTACCGATCGCTATCGGCCAATAATCGCTTTGGGATGTTTGATCGGCTGTCTCTATAAAGGCCGATCTCATAAACCAATCTCAAGCTGATGACGCGCCTGCCTAGCTTGTAATATGAATAATACAAAATGTATAATTAATTCTAAAGTGAAGGTCATGGTAACCCACTAGTAATGACTCAAGTATTGCCAAATTATTCAGAATGAATTACTAATTATTTGGATCAGTATTCTAAAGTGAATAACATAATTCTCTAGTAATTACTGAAATTAGTGTAAGCTTTTGAGGGTTTTGTAAAGTATTGGATAGTAATTATTCAGGTGTTACTACATCCTTAAATATGATTTACAAATTTTTTGGATCAGTATTCTAAAGTGAAGATCATGATAACTCCCTAGTAATTACTGAAGTCATTGTAAACTTTTGAGGTTTTTGTAAGATTCTGGTTAGTAATTAATTTTGCTAACACTTAAATCATTACTGGTAGGTTACTGTGATATTCCCTTTAGGGTGTGTTCACACTTGTAGTTTGGTTCGATTGGTTCATTTGGTCTGGGCCAAAAAGGAAAATGATACATTTGGTCCTGGTCCGCTTAGTGTTCACATTGGCATTTTTGACAGCGAACCTAAAGACACTGAACCTAAAGGCATAGTGATACGTTCACAACCTGATTGGTCGGAATGACGTATATATCGTGACAGAACTCACCGAACACCCCAAACAAAAGGTGCTTTAGACTTAGCGGGTGTATGATATCAAAGCACCCATTAACCGATCGGTCTGCTCAGCGCCGCTTTAAGTCGAACACACCTAATGCCATCTGCTGGAAGCGCGCTCATTCTTGCGTGTACATATAATTTTATTTTCACCACCTGCAAACTCACAAGGAGCTCATAAAAGGCACTTTACCTCATCGTTGCTCCAGGTTTGCCCTCTGCTTATTTTGTTTTGGTTACACCACGTCGTCAAATCATGTCGCATAGCGTCGCATCTTGTCATTACTTCCTGGTTTTGGTTCGTTTAGAAGTGTTTGGTCCATGTTGCATTCATATATCATTCGAACCGCACCAAAGTTCATTTGGAAGCGGACCGAGACCCATCTTTTCAGCGGTCTCAGTCCGCTTGTTTGGTGCGCACCAGGGTTCGGATGGCAGCGTTCACACATGCTCAAATGAACCGCACTAACAGAGCAATCGCACCAGGGTTCATTTCTTCAGAAGGATGTAGTAACACATGAGTCATTACTTTCTAAAACCTTACATATATCTCAAAAGCTTACAATGACATCAGTCAATATTAGGAATTTATCATGCTTTTCACTTATCCAAGTAATTAGTAGTTCCTTTAGAAGGATTTGGTAATACTTGAGTCATTACTAGTGGATTATCATGATCTTCATTTTAGAATGAATTATACATTATGCATAATTCACATTAATTATGAATCTGTATACAGTAGTTCTTAGTAGTTATCCAGAAAACATGAAAAAATAGTAGTTATTGATTAGCTAATAGTGAACTACCAGTTTCAACTGAGCACTATTACGTACTAAATTGTTAATCAATCAGTTTCTTGATAGTTAATGGTGGTTACTAGAATGGTAATAGTGCATTAGTCATTTGTTCCTGTATAGTTATTCATTAACGATGGAACTTATAAAGTAATTTGTAGAGTCCGACCAATATATCGTTTTGCCGATATGAGCCTGTCGCAGA